TATGTACCCAAATGGTATAACTTGTCATATTACGAAGATGAGAAGAAAAAACTAAAACATTTTCCCCAGTATCTATTATGGACACCAACACTCTTTCAGGTAACACAACTAATTAAACTCTTTCATGATGATTGAAACAATATGAACATTACAACATCCCATTCTATCTGCAAATCAGCTGGTACCCATGTTCAGTGCTTCCAAAGATATCTGACAAACTGTTTGGCACATTTTTTGCATCTCATGCACTTAATCTTGTCTGGCAGTCTACTTTATAGACTGAGGTGAGACAGTGGTTCAGAGACCAACACCATATTCAAGCATATGGGTCTAATCCAAAACCCACTGAATAGGTGGTCTCCAATGAAGTTTGAATCAGTCCCTATGTTCCTAGAATCGTCTTTTAAATAAGTTTTTTTTCCCTAAATTGTTTTTAAGAGATTAGGAGTAAAGCTCTTGTTGTGCTTCTCTTTAGCTTGTCTTGGACTGATTTCACAGAGTTTTATAAAGATGCTTTGAAGCAGAGGCAGAGCCATATTCCAATCCATGTTCCGCCTATCTTTTGACTAGTAAATAACTATGCGGTCTTCTGCTATGTACAGACCTCAATACCTTTCTCCCATGGTAAAGTCTGAACCAACCTTTTTCATGCTTACCTAAATTGGATTTTAGCAATGCATCTGAACTGAGGGTATGGGCAATTTAAAAAAAATAAATGCATTATTGAAGGGGAAAATGCACAATATATATATCTCCTTTTTAAGAGTAAGAAAGAAGGAGAATATTTTGGGACAAATTGTGCTTACCCTACTCACATGAATAATATCATTGATTTTATGGTGCTAGGTCCATGAGCATGGCAAGCAGGATCTGGCCCTGTATGACTTGAGCCTTGAGCAATATCAGTATCCAAACTTGTTTGGAATGACAATTTCAAGTTCAATTCCAGTTATCCAGAAATAGCTGGGAAACAGCACAGTAACAGTGACTGAATACAGCAAATTAATTTTGTTCCTGATGCATGCTGACATGTTGCAAAGCACCATCCCACAAAAGGATACCTTTTTTGTTTCTGAGGATATTAATTTCAAACTGTTTTAATTCAGTTAAATGATCCCTGTCTACTAAGAGGGTAATTACACAACACCCACACACCTGAAGATATGGGAAGGGGCTTGTGTTTGTTTTGGTTCAGTTTAACTGGATGTTCAAGATAGTATCAGACCTTGTCATCTTTTAACTGATTTGGCCTTTTTCTTGAGTGCCCTTGTGCATAATTGCCTCTTAACCCATGGAAACTTTTAAAACAATAGGGAATAACCAGACAAAATACAACAGTTCTTCACAGTTGATTGCAGAGGTCTCTTCTGTTTCATATTTGTCAAATTAAAAATATATGGTGCTTATGTGTTTCTCACACAGAATAGAGTGTTGCACTGACAATGTTGACATACTTAATGGATATAAAAAATAAAATGAAGAGAAATCCTTATTTTGAGTATTGTGCTTAAAATAATTAACTCCAACTTATAGTAGTACTTAATAGGGATATTGGAAACTGCAGAAAACAATATCAGAAATGTTCCTGTAGATTCTAAAGGCCCAGTTTTGCAATCTTACTCACATTGAGTAGTACTTAATTACAAAAGGCCCCACCACTGCAGAATTTGTACCCAAATTAGGCATCCCCTTTCTTCAGCTACATTAGCTCAAGAATTTACCCTTTTCACAGCTATTAATTTTTGTGTCAATGGGAAGGTATGAAGAGGTACCCAAAAAAATCCAGGGCACCTTACGTAACTGGGAAAGACACTAAGAGATTGCATTTTCACAAGACACTATCCAGTAAAACTAATATTGCAGCATCGAAAAGGTATTTTTTAAGAATAATATTATTGATCAATCTGTAAACATAACCAATTATAGTATTAATTTACTTATTTTTTACTTATAAATTAATTTTAGAGCCTTAAAAGCATTACTAATATAATGAATAAGCACTGACATAAATAATAATAGTAATAAAATATCTGGTTTTAAAAAGTTACCAGTATTAGTAATGACAATTTGTTTATCACTAGGGAAATATCAATGACCCAAACACTACCACAGAAAGCAATTATTGGCTACATTAAGTATTAAGGGTGAAATTCTGTGCTGTGCCACTAAGAGGTGCAGCATAGAACTTACAACCCAGAGGAAGAAAGCAAAGGTGTGCCCTTTTGATGCTGGGCTGCTCCAGGGACTGGTGAAGTCCCAGACATAATTTAGGCTCTCTCTACACAGCAATCAGGAGTTGTGATTGCAGTATGTATAGCCATAACGGAGTTAGCTTTGATCTAGCTAGTTCAAATAAGAATGGTAGCATGGGCAGTGGCACGGGCTAGCTGCTTGAGTACGTACCAGCAAGGCTACACTGCCACCTGTACTGCCACAGCTGCATCACTATGCTTATTAGAGCTACCTAGATCAAAGCTACTCTGGGTATGCATACATGTGCTGCAGTTACACCTCTGATCGCCAGGGAGCCATACCCTGAATTATGGAAGCATTCCTGGGTGGTTCTATTGGTTGTAGCACAGTGTACTGTGACCCCACTCACACCACAATGCCCTGTACTCACTCCCAGCATGCCTCTTCCCTCCCACTACACCAGGGCTTGCCCTGAGGGAATGCTCCCTCCGCAGGACAAAGGTCTTCTTCCACAGGAATGTTTGGTCCCTTTACTTGTCTTAAAGGGCCCAGGACAGGGGTGAGGATCTCATCCCAAGCGCCTGATTCACCAATGAAGTCCATGGGCCATATCTGATAAGATCTCACACATGTCAAGAGCTACACACAAGAAGTTATTTGTAGTGCACAACTACTATTGGTCCTAAAGCCCCCATGAACTATGTTCCGTATTCTTGAGCACCATCTAGTTAACCTTATCTATTAATTATTTACATAGACATCTTTCATCTACAGAGCACTCCTGTAACAATATTCACCTAGGTTTGACACTGGCCTCTGCTTACATACACCCAAGCTGAGGGTCCATAGCTGAGAAAAGTTTACCAGGAATTGTATTGTAGTGCCACAAGTCTTCACAACCTCCCGCCACTAGGGGTCTACAGTCAGCCAGTGTGGTGCTGAACAGTGAGAGGAATGGTGGATGCAGCAGGGCTGGCTGGGGAATGTGCTGATTCAATACATCTAAGGTGCAGACTTCATCATCAGGGCTCCTAACAATTGCATTTTGTGTCTCTCAAACAAATGTATGACAATATTTTGAGTATCTGAATTCTAGACAAATTCAATTTTGAATTTACTATTTAAAAAGTAATTAGCAGATTAGCATTAGATTTAAAATATTGACTTCCAGACTGCAGCCACTTCAGTGGCAACTGAGATCTTACAGTGGCTGACGCTTTATTCTTCTCAGCCACTCATTACACACAGATAAACAACCAAGAAGAATCACACAGTGTGAAAGACCCCATAAATCTGTGGAGATAAGCAATAAAGGTCTTGCAGCAGATCCTGGTCATGTCAACTGCACATAAAGCATATCTGATTATTCTTATCTACTCTTCCTTTTAAACCCTGTTAAATTCTGCAGGGCAACCTACAGTCAACAAAGACAAAAGCTTGCTAAAAATCCCTACAGATCCCTCATTGGTCCCTCTGGCCAGGAACAATGCACTGAAACTATATGCACAGTACTAAACAGGGCCCAATTTTCAAACTTCTGTGCATAAAGGCCTGACATTTAGTCGGCAGGATTACTCTTCAACCTGAGTAGAGGGATCCACAATATGGCCATATGTTTGGGTGTCCGTTCTTCATTTGGTGCTTTAAATCACAAATACTTATTATTTATTCATTTATTTATATTATTAGACCATGTAGGAGCCCTAGTCCTGGACCAGGAACTAAGCACTGTACAAACACAGAGCAAAAGAGCTTACCCAGTGCACTCTAAGTAGAAGACAAAAGGCAACAGATGGATACAGACAGATTGACAGGAGAGTACAAGGAAACAGTCAGAAAATACTCATGATTTAAACACTTAACGTCAACATCCAGGTTTGAAATTGAACTAAAAAGGTTCTGTACTTAAGTGAACTACGCTATCTAGAGTATAATTGAAATACTGACTGAAGTAAAATTGAGATGAAGGAAATTCACCATAATTTCATTCCAACTTATATTGTTGGTCCTAAAATATTTACCTCCTACCTAGACTTTGGTCACAGGACTAAGTCCACCAGTATTTGGACAAGAAAATGTATACACAGTTGCATTAAGAAGCCATGTTAGCTCCAGCAATATTTATTGGGGTAACTCTGCATTCAAGCTGCACATGGTGTACCTTAAATAGAGGTGTTAAAATACCAAATAAAATGTCCAAGTCTGTCACGTCTGGAGTTTTTATAAATTGTTTAGACTGGGAATAATTTGGGTTTTGTACATCATTCTTTTCAGATCATGTAGAAAAGAGAAAAATAAGGTGGGAGAAGAAGAACAATGAAGCATAGTCAGTTTGAAGTTGTTTCATGAAAAGGCATATTCTGGATCATTACCTCCCTAATCAACAATTTCCCTATTCCTCCGTAACTTGCAAGTCCACTAGTTACCTTTCCTCTCTCTGGGTGGTATTCTGAGGTTACACATACTACTCAATAATCATATTAAAAATCACTTCAAAAGGGAATTCCAGTACAGCTTGCCAGATATGTACATACTATGAGTAATTTTAACTTGGACTGTAGCTCCCTAATCACCTCTGTGTTAAAAAAAATACTACAGTATACTGACAGCAAACCTTTCCCCTGTGAACAGAAGGCTTTGAGTAATAAAATCTGCCAACTACCTAGCAGAGTATTTAGATTACCACACCTTAGTGACCATCTTTCCCACTCTCCCCTCTTCCACCCTCGCCACAACTCCAGAAAAATAACATCTCTCTTTCAGCTTCTTCCCTCGTTTTCCCACACACCACGCAACCCAGACCTCACCTTCAGCTCTCCAGAGGCTACTTTGGAAGCCAGTTCGATGACACAGCCAACAGCCATGCGTGCAGCGCCGGACGAATGCAGCTCATTCCAAATGGTGTCACTGTCCACCTGAGCAAACAGTCGGCAGAGAAGGGGAAAAAAAAAAAAAGAAAGAGAGAGAGAGAGAGAGTATAAGAGAAAACAAATCAGTGAGGGAGGGCTGGCAGGGTGACAGCCAATGTACAATAACATTAGTCTTCCGCCTTGGCCAGCTGAAAAGGCCTTCTGGACATGGCTTTGCTTATACTTTTTCTCTACACTGACTTCTCCAATGGAAACACATTCCTGTCATGCCTCACTGCCATTCCCTGTTTAGATTTCTCATTACAAACAGCATTACATAGGCCGGATCTGGCCTAGTTACAGGCCCGTTAGACACCAGGCCCCAGTAGTAGATACAATATATGTTGAGGGCCCTTAGTTATACATGAAAATGAGTTTTGCAAGTGCCAGGACAAAGAATTTAAAATAAATTTGTGACTACAGGCATTAGGAAAGCAAAAGCTTGTGTTATTAAGAAATCAGTAGCACATATTCTACACGAGATGACAGCTACAGTTCATATTCCTTAAATAAATGGAAGGAATATTTTAGATTTACTGAGAACACTCGGTAAAGCCATTTAAAAATTAGAAGAACTAAAATAATAAATCAGATAAAGAGATACATCCTCAGGATAATCCCACATTTTTACAATCCCAATCCTATTTTCTATATGCTACTTTGCTAGGATTTGGCTAGTGGAAAATAGAAATCTAATCAAATAGTTTGTTAGATTTCTGAATGCAAACTATACATTTATGATTCATTTGATTCTTGCTCGAGATAGGAGCAAAATAAAGAAGAAATACAATGTGAAAAATTAATCTCTGGTGCAATTCCACTGAATTTGATGCAGTTATATCAGGGATGAATTCGGTCCAGTATGTTTTAGCTACTAACATTTAATTAAAGATAAACAGGATTCCTGACTCTTCAAATTATTTTCTATCATAAGTATTAAATGAGAGCCTGCCAGCTATTAAAAAAATAAGGGAATACAGCAGAGATGAGACAGCATAGATTAAGAACTTCAGTAAATATGTTTAAAAAGTTATACTTATTCAATACTTCTGTTTTCAATAATCCAGTAAATGTGCTTGCATAAAGTAATGAATGCAAAGGAGAATGAAAACTAATGAATGAAAATGGTGAAGGGTTGCATTTACATTGTCTGATTTCATACCAAGCAGACACTTTAGTATGAAATACTTGAATCTGGCAAATATGCAGCCTTCTTTGATGCTCTATAGGAAGTACCTTTAAATGGGAAAAATATCACACAAGTCCATTATGAAAAGAAAAAGCTTTAGAAATACCGATTCTAGGTGGAAGATCCTATTTTTAAAGTTTCCAAATACACTGAGACATGTTTTTAATTTGAACTTCTGTTCTTAATTTCTCAAAAACTAAATCAGGTAATTGAAAATAGATGCAACTGTTACTTGACTCTGGAATTTCTGAGGAATTCTCTGGCTACTCAGTGGAAATAGAAAGAAGTTTGATCTTCTATACACCTGTCAAATGTCTTCACCATTGATGTTACATTGCTATTAAATTTCTAGCTATCATAATGATCTCATTTTTCAGTGTATTGCGCCTGATTCCTCTTTCTCTTTCACCAGTTTACATTGGTGAAACACAGCTGACTTCAACTGGGTTAGTCCTCATCAGTGTAAGAGGAGAATCAGGCCCTTTGAATAGTAAGACTGTCATTTGCTTGTCAAGCTTAGTATAATGAAGATATTTTGTATTTTCATCTGAGGATGTCATAGTGCTGTACAAACATGAATTAAGCCTCACAACACAAGTAATGATTTATTATGCTTCTCTTACAGATGGGTAATATTAATTTTTAAGGAATTAAGCAGCTTTTCCAAGGATACACAGTAAGTCAATGGGTAGATTGCGGAATAAAACCAACAAGCATTAAGTCCCGAAGCTTTAGCCATTAGACAACACTCCTGCGGCCTTTGTCTCTAATGCTTCATATGAAGCAGGTATCATTAAAATCTATTTTAAGTCTAAAAGGCAAAAAATAGAAGGTATTTGTTAAACACAATAGAGTAGGATAAACACTGTATTCAATTTGAATGCTTATTAATAGAAGGGCTAAAAGGGAGCATTTTCCTACCATGTGCATGGCTAGCAAATGAAGGTTAAAAAACCAAAGCAGTGGTTGATGAAAATGATTCAACTGCAGTTCAACGTGCCAAGGTACAAGCAGGCAGGGAGCCTGCAGCCTTGGAAGGGCTATGATTCATTTCCAGAGTTGCTTGTTGAGTCTAAAATTGTAACCACAGTTTGTGAATGTATCCGCCCTTCAAAATGGTTGTCTCCTCTAGAACATGAGAAAGGAATTGCTAGCAGCTGAACACTGTCCCTGTTGCCCAGACTATTTATTGTGTTAACTATTTTCTGTGTTCTGCTGTGGATGAGGAGAATGAATTGGAACAAGGCCCAATATTTACCACTGGAAATTTCCCTATTCCCACGAGAGCCTAATTTTAACGGGACTTGAGATAATAGTGGGAGATTGGAAAACAAAACAGCACGTCTCAAGGTATTTTCAAATATGACTAACAGAGCGTATATGGGAAATTCAGCACTTTAACAGATGAATTGGGGATGGCACATATCATGCATTTGGATCTCCCAAAGCAGCAGGCACACACTTCCAGCTGCAGAACTGTGTGTGCTACAAGAAGGGTACAAGAAAATTAACACACACACAAAAAAGGAATGATCAATATGGGGAGATACAGCATTACGTTTTACCCCTTAAAAATTAAATTCTGGAGTCCACACTCCTGCAAATCTCTATTGAACTCCATGGGAGATTTCCCTGAGAAACAACTAAAGAAGATATTGGCATATAAAATTTAACTCCCAATGTCAGTAATGGAAAAGATCTATTAGATAATCTAGTTCATCCCTCTGCCAGTGCAGAATTGTTTCTTTCCATATTTTTACAAGTTTTAAATACTAGTTTCAAATATCTCAGTTGCTTGGGCCTGAGACATTTTCTTAGAGGCAATTTACTCAATAGTTTATTCAGCAGCATGCTATTGAACTACCACTGTATAAAAAGGCAAACATGTTAAAGTTATGTCTGTTAGCTTTTGTAGACGTCACTCTTTAACTGAAATACACTGGGATGTAAAAGAAAGCAGAATATAGCCCTATGTATCTTCTTGATTGTGCACCATGGGCCAAATTCAGAGGTGTCATAAATGGGCAGGACTCAGCAACAACCTTGTGTCTGAATGTAAATTTATGTGTGTTACTATTGTAAGAAATTGGAGAGGAAGGAGAAAGTTGCAGTAGAAAAAGTAGCCAGGATGTAGGAGGGTGGGAAGCTTCTTTTTTCTTTTGTGCACCTCTTCTTTATTTTTCCTGTTCCAACCCCACTCTTCTGCATGTATAAATGCCACCTACATAGACTCACACCAATGTACTGAGAGGTAACTTATACCACCATTTAAGTCTCTCCTGAATGTATCAGTCTGAAAGAAGTATTTGAGGAGAAACAATTCTGACTAAATTGAAGGGCAATGTTTACAATTATTTTGACTCTACAAATAAATGATTATTTATTAGATAGGAAACTGCTCCTGAGAAAATGTCTCAAATGCAATCCCCTGAAACATTTAAAACTACACAAATGATGTTTAATTTAACTATTTTACTGGGTGTTCCCCAGTGAAACGTGAAGACAACCGGCGTTAAAAGTCCAGTCAGGTATACAAGACCAATTTTTGTTTGCATTACTTGTACAAGATGAATACAACAGGACAACTTATATGAATAAGTAGAGTAGGATTTGACTCTTTGTGTAGTCCATCATTACTTCCTGCCTACCTCAGGTCCACCTCATGGACAAACTATATACTTAGTGCATAACACTCTTGCTAAAGATGTCATAGTTTCTGAATCATTGCTTTATGGAAAAGTCCTATAGAATTTAATAGTGAGTGAGCCTTTTCCATAGGTGTTTTGGACCATCCTATAGAATTTAATAGAAAATTTTATCCCTGTTAGATATGCCTACAGAATGATTTAAATAAAACCCTGTATTAAATTTAGCATTTTATGCTAAGTTCAATTGGTTTCTAGCACAGGATCCTTTTACTTTAATCCCTATTAAATTGTTGTTCTTTTTCCATGAGGAACATATGCTTTGGATGTTTTGAAAATTAACCTAGAGCATTCAGTATCTTGATAGAATAAAATATACATAACATAAAACTAAAAGGGGTTTTAATAGGATTTTGAAAGCACCAAAACTTCAGTATTAAAATATAACTATGCTCAGTGTTTTGGCATCCATGTTCTTATCATTTATGCAGCCCTTCAAAGAATAAGAATCATCTGTGATAATGCTGTGAGCCAGAAAACACAACCTCAGTCTCAAGAGTAAAGTTTTTAAGACCCATATGAATTAATTTCATTCAGAGTTTTCTGAATGAACACTGTACATTGCAGGCTCTTTCAAGCACATCTATCATAGCTCAACCATTGGTATGTATAGCAACACTAATACTCTGCAAATGATAGAAATTAAACTACTTATTCTTGAAGTGGATGTGGCGATATTAAAAAGGAAGAGAGAATGACTTAAATGAAAAGCATTTATACTGTCTAAAAGCATCTAATGTTTCAAGTGTTGGATGCAGAAATGCTATATCTTATACTACCAAAAGGAACTTGATAGGAATGTATTTCTTATGATAAATTTATATCTGATATCTTGAGGCCTAACAACGAAAACCTTAACATCCCAAAAGCAAGCAAACAAACAAAAAACCTCCAGCAACACATAACGGTCGAGTTTATTGGGTACTTGTTACAACAGCAAGACTGGGACATTCTGTGTTAGGTTGGATTGTTTAGTAGCTGAAAATTGCTGTTACCACTATAAATTACTGCCAGATGCACTGTGTGGGGGGAGGTGGAGCAGTGAGGGAAGATACATCTGAGTGGGGGGGACTGTTTATGTTAATGGCTTTTTTAATAACAAAAACCTGAAA